TACAAATATATATATATATATATATATATATATATATATATATATATATATATATATATACAGTATACAGCATATATAAAAACCTTGACTAATAATTTGCTTTTTTTTTACACTGTTTTAACTTTTTTTTTTAAAGCATCCGCACAGTCTTGATGTTCTAAACTGAAGACTTCCCGTGGTGCCATCTCATTTTAAATGTTAATACATTTGCTCCAGGGATATGGAAGAGACAATATTTGCTTATGCGTTATCTGATTTAGCTGATTTCTTAAATGTAACTATTTGGCATAAACCAAAATAAAGGTCAGAACCCTTTTTTGAAAAAATGTTTCAAAATTTTAAATGCCAGAAATAAACAGTTTCCTGTTTATAAAATGTGCACAATACTACTCTGTTACCAGCTGCTATTGTACAAAATAAAGCTTTCAAGTAAAAACAGAAAATGATATGTCTTTGTTATATAATGAGTTATTAGCTCCTCTGAATATTTTGTGGACAGTCCCTCCCAGCACACATCATATGAATTTACACAGCTAACATACCGGGGTAAAGCTGACCATAAACGGTGCTTGATTCCCTTTGTCCATGGATATTGGATTCTGAAACCTGGTACCGACATTCCTTTACATTGATCATTGTTAATAGAGGGAGATGCTTGTTGTGCAAAGGAGTGACATCTGTAACCATGAGGGTCAATTATACTTCTTATTTATGTTCGCTGAATATTACCTAGTTAAAGAATAACCGTGCACATTATATAAAAATGCAATTTCATGCTACCTACAGAAACTGAACAGAAATAATAGGGGTCTATTTATAAACAATTTGCAGGGCCCTTTGCCCTGCGAATATCTGTAAACATACAAATAATATGGAAGTTCTTAATATATTTTATTTTCAAGTTGAATGTATTGTGATGTAATAATGCATTATGGCCACTATATGGAGCTCAGGGGCATAAGAAATAAGTACAGTAAACACCCTTTTATGCGGTTATCCACAGGGATTGGTAGATTCCGGATAAATTTAGTTTCTGGTGGCTTGAAAGTTACTATTAAAAATTGGTCTAACTGATTCCATACCCCATACTATACCATACCATAACATAAACTCTGTATTGACTTCATATTGATATTGAAATGCAGTAATCAAAATCAAATTGAGACAAATAGACACACTTAAAACAAATTAAGACAAATAGACACACAATCGTTCCCATGATAATACATGCTGCATGATCAGGAAAACAGTGAGTACACTGGGGATTTTTTTTCTGGTTAGATGAGAGTTCTGATTAGTTGAATACTGGATAACAGAGAGTTTATTTCCTATGCTCCTCAGCTCCGTTAGACCTGAAAAGAAAATATATTAAGAATTAAAATTTTTGTCATTATTCGCAATGGGGAGTTGTAGGAGTGATCAGCTTCTGATCACTTCTAAAAAGGCGGAGGAACTAAGGAAGTCTCTAAAGAATCCAACAGGATGAGCAACCATCCACTGTCTCAGTGGATGGTTTTCAATGCCAGGAAGCTCAGTCATTCAGGTTCCTGGCCTTCAATAAGACTGAGCATGTCTGCCTGGGATTCAATGAATTCTATTTGAAATTTGGTAAACCCAAACTTAGCAGCACATTCCATTAAAGTCTATAGGGGTGAGTCCTGTTAATAAATTCTGCCCATTTATAGGGCTAATTGGCAAACTACTGTATAAAAACTGCAATCAGGAACATGTACCAATGTGAAAAAACGTTATCGTGCATTGGGGAGAGGGTTTAGAGGGCAACAATGAAAACACACAAATCCTTACAATGACTAGGGGATGCCTAAACCACCTCATTACCAGCACCCCTTTCCTTTCCACGCCATTTTTCAGTGCTGTGATTGTTTGGCTGACAATTACTCAGTCATGCAATAATGTATGCAATTCATCATTTTTCGAGACAGATAAAGCTTTCTTTTGGTGGTATTTAACTACTTTTATACTGTATACCATATAAATGAAATAAACACCAACGATGCTTTTAAAAAACCTTTTTCCCTGGCTTTCTGTTATAAACCATATCAAATAATAATGCCCGGACAGTACAAACATCCTCAAAATGACCCCTTTTTGTAAAGTAGACACCCCAAGTGATCTAATTTGTTGCCACAATCTTTTGAAAATGAAGAAACATACAGGTATTGAAATGGTTAAGGTGCTCTTAGCCTTTCGAAGTTGCTCAAATGCAAGACTTCTGTTTGTAGCCCCCGCTAGTGATGGGTTGTCAAGACAGTTCCTGCGCTAGGGCCTACGGTGAAGAACTACAGCCAATATGGTTGGAAACCTAATTCCTGTGCTCACACTCCATGACCAAAAAGGGCCTTGTCAGGGAACTCATATTCTGTGTCACAATGAAGTTGTAGGAGGCCCTGGTTTTATGCAGGTTGGTCCGTTTGGAGCTGTACCACACACGCCACACACGTCAAAATACACCAGGGTCAACCCTGGTCACCAGGGTTACAATGTGCATTGGTCCAGCCAGGATACCTATTACCACCACCAGGCTGGCCATTCCTCCTTCTCCTGACCACCACCAGTCCCTTGACTGAGCCAGCTAATAAATTATCTCTCCCCAGGTATTGGTTGAGCTAAACCATCTCCAAAGAGATCAGATGAACAGTCCAGCATATTGAAAGGCAAATTTGCCATTATTCCTGACTGCCTGTCAGGAGAGAGTGAGACACATCTCTTTTGGCTTTTACAAAACTATTACACAGCTTACAGCAGTGGTCTCAAACTCAATTCATTTGGGGGCCACTGGACACATTTTCTTCTCCCATGGGGGCCGCTTGCCAAATTTAATAAAATGTCAAACTTCACAACAAAATGTAACTATATATGGTACCAATGCTAATGTCTGTGTGTATTTACTGTCAGTATATGTGTTTGTGATGGTTTCTTTGTATGCAATGTCAGTATATTTTTGTGATGGTTTGTGTGTGTGTATTGTCAGGATTTATGTAAGTGATGTCGGTAATAGCATCAGACTCTGTATGCAGCTTCTGACAGCGGGGGAAATGGGAGGCTGCGCTTGTTGGTGGATCCAGGGATCAGGTGAGTATTAAAAAACAAAAATGTTTTATTTCATGTACCCGGGGACATGTAGGGCTCATTCACACTGGAATCAGCCGGCACATACAGCTCCGTGCTGCGTGCACAGCCGTATCGGGCAGCTCCCGGGAAGGACAGGTGCTGCGTGTGATTAGTACGCAGCCCCTGTCCTTCTCTATGGGAGTATGCAGCCGCGGCACTAATCCTGTCCCGCGGGGACAGGAGCGGCACTAATCTCGGGGGGGGGGGCAATTGCCCCGTTGCCCCCCCTTGGATCCGCCACTGTGTCGGTATGTGTGTTAACGTTTCTGTGTGTGACATACCAGTATTTATACATGTGTATATGTGTGCAGTGTCAGTATATGTGTGTGTTTTTCCAACAGGTTTTGTTATTTTAATTATAGAGGACCAACAGACTCACATATTCACAGAAATACGGACACACACAGACATATGCACACACAGAAATACGCACACACACAGACACACAGAAATACACAGACAGATATACGCGCACAAAAATACGCACACACAGAAATACACACACACCCCACCCCAGCATTACCTATACAGGCATCGGAGCAGGCTGGGGCCCCATCGGCGCAGCTTTTCTTCTGATCTCTGACCGCCGGAAGTGACATCACGTCACTTCTGGCAAGTCCAGCGGCAGAGGAGGCCAGGTGAGCAGTTAAGAGGAGCTGGGAAGGAGGGAAGGAGGGAGGGAGAGGCAGCCCTGTCCAGCCCACCTGAGACCCCTGCAGAGCCCACCATAGAGAGTATCAGATGGGTTGTGCTGCGTCTATGGTGTGCTCTGCAGAATCACTCTCAGGTATGTGTGGGGTCTCAGGTGGGTCCTGCGTCCAGCGCGTCACTAAGCCCTGCGTCCATCGCGTCATTAAGGGTTAGTTCACACCATAAGCAGTGTGTTCCGGTCCAATTCTGTCCGGAACGCACTGCCCGCCTTGCGGCCGGCTCACTTTTTTGCCTCTTCAATAGGCTGCCACGCCCCCTCCAGCCGGCAAAAAAGTGAGCCAGCCGCAATGCGGGCAGTGCATTCTGGCCAGAATCGGACCCGAGCACACTGCTTATGGTGTGAACTGATGACATTCGTTAGCCGTAGTCTGTATGCATTTTTGTTTGTGGACAAATTTTCATTGCAGCAAAGGGCTGAATGTCAGCAAAGGGCTGAATGTCAGCAAAGGGCTGAATGTCAGCAAAGGGCTGAATGTCATTTTTGCAGCGAGTTTTCGTCGGTTTCGGATGGGGGTCGTGCGGCGGGACTTTTTTTTATTGTGGCGGGTCGGCGGGGGTCCTGCACCGTGATTGACGCTGGATTACATAGATGGAGCCATTTTTTTTTTAAATTAAAGGAATAGTCAAAAATGTACTGTTTTTTTTTTTCCAATTAAAGGATTTTATCTAAAAGTCTGGACTTTTTACCAACTATTTGATTTAACCCTTTAGTGAATGGGTAGGGGTACAAGTACCCCTTACTCATTCGCAAGGGGGGGGTGGCATCTGGGTGCCCCCTTATTTATTACTTATGCAAATAAGCCCCCTTGCCCGCACAACCACCCGGACCCACACAACCACCGGGTTAGGGTTGTGGGGAATAGGCCCTTGTCCCCATCGGCATGGGGACACCCTCCCAATGCCGAGTGCACGTGGCCTGGTAAGGCGCAGGGAGGGGGGCGCTCGATTGTCCCCCCCCCTTTCCTGCCCTCCCGGCCAGTGCTCGGATCAAGGGTCTGGTAGGACTGTTAGGGGGGACCCCACGTTTTTCCCCCCATTTTTGGGGGCTGGGGTTCCTCCCTTAAAAGTCCTACCAGACCTAAAGGGCCTGGTATGAATTGGGGGGGAACCTCATGCTTTTTTTTTTCATCTTCTGCAAACTAAAAAAAAAAAAATTTGATTTTTTTTTCCTGTCATTTTGCTGCAACGTAAATTCGTCCAATAAATGAACATTCGACTGGAATACCGCTAACAAAATTTCGGGAATTCTGATTCGTTTGCATTCGTTTTAGCTGTAATTCGGAATTCGGATATATCCGAATCTCCGAATTTCCGAAATTTCGTCCGAATTTCGATTCGGAACGAAACAAATCGCACATGTCTAGTTGTCAGTGCAGGCTCTTAGTTGCCAGTGCGGGTTCCAGGTGGTCAGTACAAGCTCCAGGTGGTCAGTGCAGGCTCCAGGTAGTCAGTGCGTGCCCTTGGAGGTTAGTGTGAGCTCTTGGTGGTCAGTGCTGGCTCTTGGTAGTCATTGCGGGCTCTAGGTGGTCAGTACGGGCTCTAGGTTGTCAGTGCAGGCTCTTGGTGATCAGTGTGAGCTCCAGGTAGTCAGTGTGGGCTCTTGGAGGTTAGTGTGGGCTCTTGGTGGTCAGTGTGGGCTCTAGGTGGTCAGTGTGGGCTCCAGGTGGTCAGTGCGGGCTCTAGGAGGTCAATGCGGGCTCTAGGAGGTCAATGCGGGCTCTAGGAGGTCAATGCGGGCTCCAGGTGGACAGTGCGGGCTCTTGGTGGTCAGTGCATGCTCCAGGTGGTCAGTATGGGCTCCACCTGCCCTTATGTTAGTCCGGCCCTGTCTATAAGTGACAGTCTCCCAGTCACATGACTTTTAATGTGACATGGGATTCTTCAGGCTATTAGCAAAACAGTGAGGGTGAAATTGTGCCCTGCTGAGGAACCTGTCATCAGCTTCAGAGATGTGAACAGCATTTAAAGGATGCCATGGTAGCTAAATAAGATCTGCACCCAAGCATCAATGCAATTATGGTAACTTATTCTGATCATAGGCCTTTGTAGGGAGCATGTAGGGCACATGTACTGAATATCATATGTACACAAAGGATGGGCAAAGTTTAAAAGTTTCAAAACAACTAAAAATTAACTTGCAAACTTGCAAAGTCCAAGGTATTCAGCCAAATCCAGTGGCATTGGATTTGGTATCTTTTTTTTTTTTTTAACTTTATGGACTTTTTTCAACTTAACTAAGTAACTGTGTAGTGGGTGTGATTAAAGAGAAGTGCTACTAAACTGCACACAACAAAAGTTGGCCGAACATTTATCTGGCTGAACAATGAGTACTACAGGAAAGGTAAGGGTTTTCAGGCTCAATACATAAGAACCTTAATAATGAATCAAGATGATTTCAAATTTTAATGTGGTAAGGAAAATTGCTAATTAGAACACAGAATCTACTTACTTCTTGGTAAAGACTGTTTTCACTATGAATATACTGTATTTGAGTTATTATTTCAGTGTTTACTTTATCTTTGAGATGCTCCAGTCTTCAAGCCTTCTCTTCTCTTTTGTTTACTTCTGGCAGGGTTCTTCTTCAGGTGTCCATGTCACTGCCTGCGGGACATAGACACTTTCTATAAACTGTTCAACAGTAGGGTCCTCTCAGGATCCAGAAGGGGAGTGATGCCATTGCAAGGGGAGAGTAGGGGACTGGTCAGCAAGGCACCTTCTGCAGTGCTAGATTAGTGATCCTCTACATCCAATAAATGGTGCCAGGGAGGGACCTCAAAGGGGACTTCACAAGAAAAGAAAAAGAAAATCCATGCAGGGGCATTAAAGTATAAATTAGCTCAAAACTTTCTTTTAAGTTTTTGAGGGGTTTTTTTACCAAGTTTTACCAAGACTTCTCTGTCCAGACAGCCTGTCGGGACAAAGTGGCAGGTAGAAGATTGAGAAAAACTATTTAACACTGACAGGGGAACTTACTTTGGTTAGCTTTTATTCATCTTTTATGTAAAATCTTTATGTCAAATGGAATAAAAAAAAAACTACTGTTGTAACTGCTTAAAAAGTGTTAGCTGGAGTTTGACTTTAATTTGTTAGTCAAGTCCATCTAACACCCTCTCCACAGAATAACAATGCTGCTGGTTCCATTGGTTCTCCATAGAGTGGAGCCACCCTAAGATAAGAAGTGTATTAGTGACCTTAATAATAGGTGAAAATCAAGGAAAAAAAGCCTGAAAAAAAGAAAACTAACATGGCCACACATTTAAGGATTAGTAACTTGCAATATAAGACATTTTTGTTTTTGGGTTTAACAAGACTTTAAGATACTATATATCAGTCACAGAGTACATGCAACTGTTTTCAATGAGTAGGTGGACTTAAAGGAGCAGTAAAGTGGAATCATTGTATAGCATTTCATTAATAAAAACACAGTCTGTATACCTGTATACATTATGTAATGAGCAAATATGACTGTCCCCTTGTGTATTTATATACAGTACTGTGCAAAAGTTTTAGGCAGGTGTGAAAAAATGCTGTAAAGTAAGAATGCTTTCAGAAACAAAAGTGTTAATAGTTTTTTGTTTTTTTATCAATTACCAAAATGGAAAGTAAATGAACGGAAGAGAAATCCAAATCAAATCAATATTTGGTGTGACCACCCTTTGCCTTCAAAACAGCATCAATCACTTCCAGGACTCCTTGTTCTTCAAACCATCACTTCCAGGACTCCTTGTTTTTCTTTATGCTGAAGATTGTTCTTAATGGCATTGGCTGTTTGTTTGTGGTTGTTGTCCTGCAGCAGAATAAATTTGGGGGCAATCACATGCCTCCCTCTTGGTATGGCATAATGGATAAGTATCTGCTAGTATTTCTCAGCATTGAAGACACCATTGATCCTGACCAAATCTTCAACTCCATTTGCAAAAATGCAGCCCCAGACTTGCAAGGAACCACCACCATGCTTCACAGTTGCTGCAGACACACATGATTGTATCGCTCCCCAGCCACTTGTCGAACCAACTGCCTCCTGCTACAGCCAACTATTTCACATTTTGACCCATCAGTCCAGAGCACCTGCTGCCATTTTTCTGCGGCGGTAAGAGGAGCGCAGTGTGCAGGGAAAGGGACCCTGACCAGCCCACATGAGACCCTGCAGAGCCCACCACAGAGAGTCTATGGTGGGCTCTGCAATGTCACTTTCAGGTGGGCTCTACTGGGTCTATGGTGGTCTCTGCAGGGTCTATGGTGGGCTCTGCAGGGTCACTCTCAGGTGTGCTGTGTGGGGTCTAAGGTGGGCTCTGCAGGGTCTCTGGTATGTGCAGGGTCTCAGGTGGGGTCTCTGGTGGGCTCTGCAGGGTCTCAGGTGGGCTGTGTGGGGTTTCAGGTGGGCTTTGTAGGGTATCTGGTATGTGCTGAGTCTCAGGTGGGCTGTGCGGGGTCTCAGGTTGGCTATGGAGAGTATCATGTTAGGCTCTGCAGGGTCTCTGGTAGGCTGTGTGGGGTCTCTCAGGTGGGGTCTGCAGGGTCTCAAGTGGGCCCTGCAGGGTTTCAGGTGGGCTCTGCAGGGTATTCTTAGGTGGGCTGTGTGTGGTCTCAGATGGGCTCTGACGGGTCACTCTCAGGTTCGCTCTCTTAGGCGGGTCTGCAGGGTCACACTCAGGTGGGCTGTGTGGGGTTGGAGGTGGGCTCTGCAGGGTCTCTGTAATGTGCAGCATCCTAGGTGGGCTCTGCAGGGTGTCAGGTGGGCTTTGCAGGGTGTCAGGTGGGCTCTGCAGGATTTCTGATGGGCTGCATGGGGTCTATAGTGGGCTTTGCAGCATTGAGCGGCGGAGTGATCTGTTCTTCGACTCTGATGTCAGAGCCAGCAGGAGCAGAGCTGGAGAGAAGGAAATGGTGCAAGTATTTATTTATTTGGTTGGGGGGGGGGAGTCTTGGTTTTTTGGGGGAGAGGGGATTGCCCATACAACATTTTGCTATGGGACCCTGTGATTTCTAGTTATGCCCCTGCATACAGTATATACTGTATATATACTATATTATGGCTTGTTCACAATGTCCATTGAGTTAATTTTTTCTGCATATCAATGCACATATATGGTGTGAACAGGGCACGTAGAATTGTTTTCTTTGTGCTCTGCTCGCATCATACTTTTGCATTGGTATACAGAATAATGCAGCTCAATGGACTTTGCGAGATCAAGCTATAAAGTGAAATCTGAGCGGTCGCAATGGGCCATGGCATTGCATTAAGATTGTACTTCCATTAGTTTACTAAATAAGACCACAAATGTCTGATAGTACCACAACAAAATGACAGCAATATAACACACCATCTGTTTTCCTTTCTAGGTAGTAGCGCTCCTTTGTTTTCTTGTTGTTCATCTGTATTTGTCTACTTAGCTACACTTTTAATGTGTTTATAGGTTATAAAATGCAAAGCTGCTGTGGCATGGGCCCCGAATCAGCCACTGGCGATTGAGGAGATCGAAGTACAACCACCAAAAGAAGATGAAGTTCGGATTAAGGTGAAGCTTTGTTTAAAATCTGTTCTAATACCTTCATAAGGTACATATAAAGCCCACAAAAACATAAATCTAAATGGTAACATTTGGATGGAATTGAAAGGGAGTGTTTAAACTCAACCTCAGACAATTTTTTTAACAGCTTAATTCACAAAAGGGTAAAGAGTTTGGAGAAGGCTGGAGAAGTGAACAATCTAGGACAACATAGCTGAACTGGAAAGTGAGCTGAATTGGAGAATTTCTACTGATCAGTTATGTTATCCTAGACTGTTCATTTCTCCTGCCTTCTCCAAACTCTTCACCCATAAAGAGTTATTAAACCCTCACATGTTTTTGCCTATATCTACTGCTTGCAAGCAGTAGATATAGGCAAAACAATTTAAAAAAAAACAAAAAACCTTTTTAAAGGATTAATACTTACCTGTGTCTATGCCGTACACTCACGTCAAAACATCTGAAAATGTATTGGGCAGCCGCAAAGGATCTTGGGGTGGGCGCATGCGCAGTTCAGATGTTCGGCTGGGAGACGAGGAGAGATACAAGATAAATCTATGGAGCAGCATGCACCCGCACAGACTCCATTGGACATGTGAGAAGAGGAGGACAGAGGAATCAGTGCTGGATCAGAAACCGCACCAGCGCTGGAGGGACAGCTAAAAACTATTGGAAAGAAGAAGATGATCGGATTAAGAGGCATTATTTAAGGTAAGTCCTTAAATTAGCTCTGCGGGGGGGGGACTTTTGCCCTTAATGCCACTTTAAGCGAATAGACCTGTAAATGTCCTACATCAGCAGTAAACAGAAGGCAGCTTTTTTAAACTGATGTTTTAACATATATTTTGGCTGTTTGCAATGAACAAACCACACAAAAGCAATTGAAACAGGACAATGAATGCTTCAAGCAGTTTCCCAAAATTTAACTGAAAATGCAACTTTTAATGACTTCTGCAGTCTCAAAATTATTTAACCCTTTCATGGCAAGCATCTTTAGTACTTAGTAGGTCACCCTTTTGCTGTTATGACCTGCTGCATAAGTAGACACCAGATTCTGGCAGCATTGCTGAAGACTCTTAGCCCATTACTCATGAGCAATGGCCTCCAGTAGCTCTAATATTCTTGGGTTTGCATGCTGCAACCACCTTCTTCAAATCCCACAAAGATCTATTAGGTTCAAGTCAGGTAACTGTGTTGGCCACAATCTTCCCATGACTTCCTCTGCAACCAAGTCCTGGTGGAATTTGAGGTATGCTTTGGATCATTGTCCTGTTGGAAGTTTCAATGACGTCCAAGCTTCAGCTTCCTCACAGATGGCATGATGTTTACTCCTAGGATTTCCTGATACTTCAATAAATCCATCTTAGTAAAAAATGTGGATCCGCGCTTTATGGGTAGCCCTGTTTTAATAACCTGATATTAAAGCAGCTGCGCTCTCAACCCTGGGGTTAGAATAGATAAAGTGTGAATTGTGCAGCTAATCACTTGATCACACAATCTTTCTACTAGGATTTCGGATTGTTCCACAAAGTCTTGCTCCCTTGTGCAGTTACGTTTAATTCGGGTAAGTTGCCCCTTTGGTATTCCTTTTAACCACATTAAAAGGAATACCTTTTAACCACATTGGATGATGGCAGCTAAAAGTAGGGATATACCCATTCCTGTCTGTTGTTTTAAAGTGAGTTTTGGTTATAAATTGATAATCCTGTATGTATACAGGATTATCAATTTAAAAGTATTAAAAGTAGGGATATAAATTTATATTTATATATTTAATTATATATATTTATATATTTATATTATGCACTTTAGTTTTTAGCGCTGCACAATTCACACTTTATTTAATAAATCCATCTTGCCTTCTAGTACCAGAGGATGTAAAGCAGCCCCAGAGCATCACCAAGCCACCACCACGATTAACTGCAGGCAGAGTGTTCTTTTCAGTGTATGCTTCATTCTCCTTCCTCCAGACATACTGCTTATCCATAGGTTCTCAGTGCCTGTTGCCACCAAGTCTGGCTGCAGGTTTTTTGCAGTCACTCATGGGTTTTTCACAAACTGCCTTCTCAAAAATCTAGTTGCAGCCATTGATAGCTTCCTTTTTCTGCTCTGTCCAGCTAGTGTAACCATTGTTCTTTGAACTTTGAACTTGCGAACTATGCTTTCAACTGTGTCTCGCGGAACATTCAGTGCCTTTGCTATCTTTTTGTATCCTTTTCCTTCTTTGTGAAGGGTGATGATGTCTTCTCTTACATTTTTTGACCATTCGTTTCACTTAGCCATATATCTAACATGCAGTCAAATGTGACACTCAACAAACCCTTAGCCAGTTAATGTATTTCATGTCTTCTAGCTCAAGCACACTTGGTGCAACTATTGAAGCCTTTGATTGGTGGTATCAGGTATGCTTGAGACAACACCTGTTTTGCAGATGTGTGCTCTTGTGAGGGATTCTATTCGGGGAGTTGAATAATTTTGTGACTGCAGAAGTCATTAAAAGTTGCATTTTCAGTTTAATTTGGGGAAACCCCTTGAAACATTTGTTGTGTTGACCTACTTAATTTGCTTTTTGATTTGTTCATTGCAAACAACTGAAAGTTTGTAAAATTTGCTTGTGTGGTTTGTTCTAAGCTCATGGACTGCATAAGCAAGTTCATGTTCTGTGATGTTTCTGGTTGGCCCCACATTTAAGTAATCCTTTACTGTGTATTTTTGTTACTGTATTATGTTACTTTCTCTGTAATGTTTATATGCAACTACAATGCACAAACATGTTGACTGCTATATTTGTGTAATGGTTGTTATGCCTTTGACAAATTTGCTAATAAAAAATATTGAAACAGAAAACAATAATTATAATTCAATAAAAAAAGTATGTTTGTGATTGTCATTGTAAAAAACCTAGAGCACCACCTGGGCACTCCAAGGTGAACATGTTGTGGTGTGGTGAACATTGGGTGTAGCCACGCTGTGCTGGCATTGAGAGGGGCTGAAAAGGACACAGTTAAATAGAACTACTAGAATAGAGTCCGCTTGCTGTATAACACAGCATACATGTTCCACAGTCCTTCTAGCCACTAAATATGCTTTAATTACTGTGCCACAAGTAAAAGTCTCACAGACACATTTAAACCCCCAGAACAATATCTTTTTAAAGCTGAAACTCTTCCATTGTATAAGCTTTTCTGCATACAGAATATATAAACACTGGGATAATACTTTGTCGGAGGCATTCTTAAAAAAACAGATCCTTGACCCATATGCCCTAAAGGACTGCATTTGTTATTTTGAAAGCCCACTATAAAGGAAAAGTAATTCTGAATAAAAACACATGTGGTTTTAAGCAATAATTTTTGGTGCATTCATTTTTCCCAGTCTGCATGACTGGGCATGTGGCATGTGTTAAGTCCACTCCTTTGCATACATACTTTATACAAAATGTGTCCCTTTTTCTTATCTCAGAATTGTTTAGTGAATATTTAAACATAAACATAGTGAACATGTTCTTAACCCTTGTAGTAGGGTTACCCCAACACTGCAAGGGCTAAGTGCTCATTTTTGTCTAGCTTAAAAACAACCAAAGGGTTACTCACCCGATCCTCAAAGCCGACTTGCTCTTAGACCAGTCCCCATACCGTTGCTGCAATGGAGGCAGAGGGGACTAGTCTAAGAGCAAGCCAGCTCAGCTCAGAGGATCAGATGAGTATAACTTTGTTATTTTTGAACCTAGACAAGAACAAGCACTTAACTCTTGCAGTGCGGGGGTATTTTCACTGCAAGGATTAAGGAAAAAATTCCCTGGAATTCTTCTTTAAACCACGTTAGAATGAAAAACAGCTAATTGTTCTTCTTTTTATAATGTTCAGATGGTAAGCACAGGAATATGTCGGACAGATGATCACATAATCCACGGTGATATAAAAAGGATACCATTTCCAGTTATTCTTGGCCATGAGGGAGCTGGTATAATTGAAAGCGTTGGAAAAGGTGTAACCAATTTGAAATCAGGTATTTTAATTTTAAGAAAATGTCCCAGCAATACTGTACATTATAATGTAAATCAGCTTTGCTGAATACCACCAGCGTAATTTGTCCCAATGAAAAAGTGTGCATTGTGTTCTTGCAATGCACACTGGGTATCACATCCTACATTAGCTATAGATGCAAACTTGGCAACTATTGTTTCTATTTATTCTTATACTACAGAACATTATTGTAAAGTTTTAACAGTTCCAGACTGTCAAACTACTATTAAAGTGGACCTTAACTTGCATAGTGAAATGTAAGTTGTGCTTAAGTAGTGCCCTAAAGGCGTTTATCAGCCTATCTCTGGTCATGGCACCCTCTAAAATATGCAAAATCTCATGGCACCCTAGTCTAGAAGGTGATAGATGTTAAGGGGGATCCCACATAAGAACACACAAAAAAGTGGTTTTCCCCCTTGACATTACAGTGCCCCCTTCAAATCAATATCCCCCCCCTTCACATCAGAGTCACCCTTGCATCCAGTCCCCCTTCACATCAGTAGCCCCCCTTTAAAATCAGCAGCCCCTCTTTCATATCAGAGCCCCCCCCCTTCACATCATAGTCCCCCCTTTACATCAGGAACCACCTTCACATTAGCCTTCATTCCCCCCTTCACATCCCAATTCCACTACCACAAAGGCTACCCTAAAATATGTACCTTTTGTCTTTAAATCCTCCTGAAAACACCAGTAAACTTCCTGTGGCAGGGCACTCCTGTGTCTGATCTTACAATTGATCATTCAATGCAACTGAATGATTGATTGATTTGAATAAAAATCAAAAAAGCTAATATTTCCCATTTTGATCATTCAATGCAACTAAAATGGTTGCTCTGAATAAAAATGGCAAACCAAAGAGTCTCCATTTAATCAATTCATTGATTTCTTGAACAACTTAGACTCTTCCAAGACAATCAACCGTAGCAGAATTTTTTTTGGTCACTTCTGATTGATTGAACAAATATCTGCATGTGTTGGGAGAACTATTTATAACTGAGAACAATTAAATTATTGTTTTTTAATGGTTTATTTAAGGGATGCACCGATACCGATACTAGTATTAGTATCAGTGCCGAGTATTTGGGCGAGTACTCATAATGCCTAGCCCGATACCTGAGCTTCCGAAATCAGGAAGCCATCTTCCTGATTGGCTGGCAAGCCAGCTCCATGCATTGTGGCCACAACTTCCACGGTTTGGTCATCTTCAAATGTGCTGTAGTTTAATACGGTATGAATAAATATATGCAGTTTGCAACCTTATGTAATAACTTTTTGAGTACTCAGAATGGTATTTTTAAATGGTTCATTTTTAATTGGCAACTAATGTATTCACATACTGTAATACTGTAGTTTTTTCTTGTTTTTTTTAGGAGACAAAGTCATTCCACTTTGGCTTCCTCAGTGTAGAAAGTGCAGCACTTGTCTAAATCCACACAGCAACCTTTGCATTAAATCACAGTAAGTAATTAAAGCTGAACTAAATTACAAAACAAAATCTAATAGACAATTTTTTTTGGGAGAAATGTTGTATGTTATATTGCCAAATGATTAAATTCCCTGCTTTTCATTTATACGGTGGGGCATATGCAGAAACGTTTGCATTATCCACATCTGTGAGATTCTTAGGACTGGAGACTTGTTGCAGGATAATGCAACTCTATTAGTAGTATATATTACCATGGAATGTTCTTAAAATAAGCTGGGAATAGCTGGCACTTTTGTACTTTTTGAAAATGTATCCCCTGTATGGCAAGTCTTACTTCTTGGGACTTCCATGTGCAAAGATGGGATATACTAAAATTACTTTAATACTCCAAGCAACTACAGTCATGGACAATAATATTGGCACCCCTGCATTTCTATCAGATAATGCACCACTTTGCGCAGAAAATGGTTGCAATTACAAATGTTTAGGCATTCTCATGTTTATTTCTTTTGTTTGTATTGGTATGACACAAAATTAACAGCTTTTTGTTAAAACAAAATTATACTTTTTTAGTAAAGCCCATCATTCTACTGTTTTCAGAAAAAGAAATGAGGCCTTTAAAGAAAAAAAATACAGTCCCTACAGTCAAACACAGTGGAGATTCACTGATGTTTTGGGGTTGCTTTGCTGCTTCAGGCACTGGATGTCCTGACTGTGTGCATGGCATTATAAAATCTGAAGACTACCAAAGAATTCTGGGGTGCAATGTAGGGCCCAGTGTCAGAAGGTTGGGTCTCTGTCAGATGTCATAGGTCTTACAGCAGGACAATGACCCAAAGCACACATCAAAAAGCACCCAGAAGTGGTTTCTGACAAAGCGCTGGAGAGTACTAGACTGGGTAATGCACAGAACAACTTGCAAATTTTAGTGGTCATGAGTTTAGTGCCCCCTAATGGTGGTGATTAGTGGGGAGTGCCCCTTTAAATGTCAATGAATGGTGTGCCCCTTAAATGTCAGAAATCAGTAGCAATTGGACCAATTGGACCAGTCCAGATCTAAATCCCATAGAGCACCTGTGGAGAGATCTCAAAACAGCAGTTGGGAAAAGGAACCCTTCCAATCTGAGAGACCTGGAGCAGTTGACGAAAGAAGAGTGGTCCAAAATTAGTGTAGAGAGGTGTAAGAAACTAATTGATGGTTACAGGAATCGATTGATTTCATTTTTTTTCCAAGGGCTGTGCTACCAAATATTAATTGAGGGTGCCAATCATTTTGGAATGTGTCAGATTTGGCTTTTCCTTTCTCCAGTTTTTTTGTGTCATACTAATACAAACAAAAGAAATAAACATGAGAATGTCTAAACATGTGTAATTGCAACAATTTGTGGTGCATTATCTGACAGAAATGCAGGGGTGCCAATATTTTTGGCCATGACTGTATATCTATCACTAGAACACACTCATGATAACAGTGGCCTCCATCTTTCTTTAGAACTCTTATCATTGGGGTTTTCTAGGTATCACCAAAATAGTTACAGTTAAAATTGCTTGATTTATTTAATAATATGATTAAAATCCATAAAAAACAATGCATGAGTCACATTAGTGTTACATGTTCAAACAATGATCTCAATTAGAAATTTCTTGAAACTTCTCTTGAAATTTGCTTTTCTTGTGTATTCCACTTGCGGTTTCCTATGTGTTTCGGTCTATTGCTTCATCAGGAACCACAGGTACGTCTAAGTGAATATCGCATAACAAATAATTCACCATCATGCAAAGTGTTAATCTAAATATCAAACAATGAATATTATATGCAGTTATTGTCATCAATCCAGGAGGGGATATATCTCACTCCACTGGGTCTCCCTCATTTCCTGAAATTCTTCTTTCTATGAAATCAATAGGAAATTAAATGCAAGAAAATTAATTTTCCAGTGTCTTGTAACATTTTCATGATGCCTCTGATGGGCTCCTAAAACATGCAAGCAATCTCTTGTAGCAAGATTAAGTGTACAGCATCTATTTTAAGACATTGGTGCCCTGGATCTCACCAATGTCTTAAAGCAGCCCTCAGCTTCATAAGAATCCTTAGATTCATGATGATCTGTTAAAGTTAAAAGACTAGTATATAGCATAAACAAAGGAGAAATTTGCCATGTACTATTCTTAACAACATAGATCTACAGGGCCATCTTTAACGCTGGGCAAAAGGGGCAGTTGCCCCAGGCCCAAGTCAGCTGTCCCTTGAGCTCACAAAATATACATATGCAGCACCTAGGGTTGCCTCCTGTGGGGGATTCAGATTCACCCAGACAGTCCAGGTTTTGAATGCTGTGTATGCTTAAACACCACTGTGGGAAATAAAAACAAACCATTCTCTCAGAGTTATAGTAGAGATACAGAAGTTTTTGACCTTTACATCTTTAACAGGGCTATTCACAAAAGGGTGAAGAGTTTGGAGAAGGCAGGAGAAGTGAACAATCTAGGCAAAAATTGCCAACTTCCCCAAATCAGCTCAATTTCCAGTTCAGCCGGGTTGTCCTAAATTGTTCATATCTCCTGCCTTCTCCAAACTCTTTACCCTTCTGTGAATAACCTTGTAAATGTTTAAAGGGGGTTTAATACTTTACTCATAGATTAAAGCAGTTCAATTCAGAACCTCTTTAATCTATGGCTAAATTATGAAACTTCTTTAAACATTTGCCCTTGCAAGTACCAAAAATGTTTATTACAGATCTGTTAAAGGTGCAGGACTATTAAAAGAGATATTAAAATGTATGTAAACCCAAACAATGAACTTTTCTTATTTGCTACCTCTTGATCTAATGTACCATTGAAAGCATTTTGTTAAATCTGTTAAGTGCAAAAAAATACCTGTTATCAGAAATTCAGAGATATCCTGCATACTGTGCTCTCTGCCTATGTGAGATACACCTGGCACACCACCCAGTAACACATATCCTGTCCTAGGGTGTCAACTAGGTTTACTGACAACAGTACAGCAGAATCAGAAAGCACGGGGAGTTAGGAGCTTAAAAAATAGAGAAAATAAGATTACAATAATATTTATTAATAATGATTATTATTGTTATTATTATACAGTTTGTTTGTAAGGTATTAAATACACTTTGATTATTCTTAAATCCATTTAAACATTTGTTCCAAAAAATGCCAAACCCTAAGTGTTGTATATGTCCCTTTGCTTCTCTTTTATTTTACATACAGCTTATCTGAACCACAGAAAGTAATGCCTAACAGTACATCAAGGTTTTCATGCAAGGGAAAAGTTGTGAATCATTTTTCATGGTGCAGCACCTTTTCAGAATATATTGTCACGCCTATTGATGCTGTTGCAAAGATTGATGACAGAGGACCCATGGAGAAAGTCTGTCTTTTTGGATGTTGTTTTCCAACAGGATATGGAGCGGCTGTCAATACTGCCAAGGTACATTTTTTGTATTAGACCTCTATTAGTTAACTCAACTATCTCACTAATATTACTATATTCATCTATATCACTATAAATTTGTTCAATGTAAGCAAGTCATTTGGCCTTTTGGCCATTGCAGTTCTTTAGTTACTAACCTTTACTAAAGTGTACATGCATAGCCAAAACTTTAAATCCTGCTGCACTCGGATATCCCAATCAGCATGGGTACTCGAAATGGCTGCGGATGGCAGAGTGAAACAAACGTCTGTTTATTGACGCATGTTGTCATAACGTGTCTGCAACGTTTCGGGGCCACGCAGGGTCCCCTCTATTCATTCCAAGCCTGATGAAGGGGACCCTGCGTGACCCCCAAACGTTGCATACACGTTATGACAACATACATCAATGATCATGCATAGCTAATATCTCATACTAAATGTTCCCTTCTATGAAAGGCATCCAGTTCTGGTTTTGAATACTGTTGTCTATTGCACCTTTTGCTAGGAATGATTTCATAATGTTCTTCTTTACAGCTTTACTCATATTGAAGTATCTGATGGGTCTTTGAAAGATGCAGTAGGCTTAATTCACAAAGCTAACACACCGGGATAAGGATACTTATTTTGCAATGCAATAAGATTTGAAAATCTATATTTTTACAGTTGCAATGCCGAAAATAGAGTGTCTTAGGCCTGTGTAAAACTTTGTGTATTCATCCTATTTATTGGTAGTGTCTCTGCAATTGAAGCAGAACTATATCTGCCAATTTACCAGTTTCCAAAAGAAATTTGAAGTTAGAAATATTCAGCAAATGTGATTAAATCTTTAAAGAAGTATCACCAGAAGTTAAAATGCTTGTTAAATCCCCCAGGAGACCCAATGCACATTGCACTTGTTGTCATTGAAATCTGGACAGTGGTTATGAAATAGGACATTTCATTTATGTTAGTGCTGGCTGTAGCTCCACCCCAGGCTGAAGCCCAGTTTATGGACGTTCCTATGAGGGAGTTACATTGGGCCTTAAAATTGCAACCTTGTGCATCCTCTGCTCTCCACTGCCACATTATTTGTAAAGAAAAGGCTGAACCCATCAAAAAAAGACTGAACCCAAACTTAGCTGCCAGCTATTCAGGGAGAGAATACATTTTTTATTTACAATTTGATTTAACCCATTAGTTAAGTACCCCTTACTCATTCAGAAAAGGGGGGGCCGCATCTGGGTGCCTCTTTATTAAAGGGGTGCCCTGATGTGAATAAGCCTGCACGCACACAGGCAGGGGGACATGGTGCTTTCCTTCCCCCTTTCCTGCCCTGCCAGACCTGTGCTCGGATCAAGGTTCTGGTATGGAATTTTAGGGAGGACCCCACGTTTTCCCCATTTTTGGGGGGTGGGGTTCCTTCTTAAAATTCCCACCAGACCTTAAGGGCCTGGTATGACTTTGACGGGAAACCCCACACACTTTGTTTTTTTTTTACATGCGGCCCTTACCAAAATTCCTACCAGACCTTCAGGGTCTGGTATGACTTTTGAGGAGAGCCCCACGCTTTTTTTCCCTTTAAAATAGGGTGCCTCTTAACATTCCTGGCAGAACTAAAAGGGCCTGGTATTGTTTGGGAGGAGGAGCCGCAAGCTTTTTTCTTTTTCTTTTTAAATGCAATTTTTTTCTTTACAAATGTCAGTTTTGCTGCAGCAGGTTCTATACATCATACATATGTGCCACTTTACAGGCAGGTTAAGGGGACCCCCCAGGCACAATATTTAAAGGAATTTTTCTTTTTATTGTTTCACTTTAAGTAATGTTAAAATCACTGCTCCTTTAAAAGCTTTTCCCTCATTCCCTTTTTATGGCCAATAACTTGCATATAAGCCTTCAAAATGGGGTCAATTTATTTTCAAAGTTCTACCCCCACTGAGTTCGAATTCTAACTTTTCCCATGTTCGAAAGTTCGAATATGGGGGGTGTTTTGCTCATCAATAATTCTAAACAGGTATGCAGATAAGACTACTGATTTTTCTATCAATTTCCTTATTTGCATACTTTTTTTAAGGTGAAAGTATTAAAACTAGTGGGTCATGACAGGTAGCCAACAAATATTTTCGGAAGGAGGTCAGCCATATCAGCGCCTGTAGTTCTCCCCTGACAGGTATACATTAACAAAGATTTAAAAGAAAACACTTGAAACATATTTGTTTAACCAACAGGTGGAGCCTGGTACTATTTGTGCTGTATTTGGATTGGGTGCCATTGGGCTGTCGGCTGTTATTGGATGTAAAGTTTCTGGAGCATCAAGAATTTTTGCTATAGATATAAACAGCAGCAAGTTTGAAAAGGCAAAGCTGTTTGGAGCCACTGACTGTATTAATCCCAAAGATTATAGTAAACCAATTCAGGAGGTGATCACGGAAATGACAGGACACGGAGTGCATTATTCCTTTGAATGCATTGGGAATATTGATGTTATGGTATGTAATTGAAAATATATTTTACCATTGATCATCCTAAAATGGTTAGACATGGGGCAAATGTTCTTCCTATTTTACATGATATAAAATGTTAATTGTCTAATGGACTACAGATAATAATGTAGATCTTTCTTTAGCAGCTTGAACAAACTCCCGTTTTGTGGTTTTACAGACAGAAATACTTCAGGTGATGGCTAAATTTTTGCAAACATAAAGCCGAGAACTGGAGTGTAAAAGGACTGTTGCAGGACTTAGAAATTAGAGCATTCATCTGCAGTTTGAGGGACATGGCCATCAAGCATCTGTGGACTTTAGCAGTGGATGACAGGAGGTTAAAAAAACAGCTCTTACAGGACCTGAGGTCCTCACACAGTTTAAGAGGCTCAAGTAGTGGGTGTGTTGTAATTAATGGCCTACATTATATATCCTCAATGGCTGTTTATAAATATACAAACGCCTATGTTAAGGGACATGGACAGTAATAACAATGGTCTTCCTTATATTAAAAAGCTTTGCAGTAGCAGCCTTGGTCCTGTTATTGTGTGATGCCCATTCTCCGACCATAGTTCACCTAACAGACAATGATGCTTTAGCTCTGTTCTGCTTTAAATGACATCTGTCAAAACTTTAATAGAACTAAACTGGACAGAGCTACATTGCAGGCACTTAGCACTGCATATACCTTTGCTTTTTTTCTGCTAGGGGTAAAGTGCCCAATTGTATATGTACATTTAGACACTTCCTAGATAGCATCCTGGGATTTGGGGATTAAGCACATGTTTATAAGGCACTGTTGAGTGCCTGAATCTAGCCCTAGGGCCAGTTTAGTACCTATATATTCATGAAAAATGTAGTGCTGCCCAAACCACAGTGGTAACCACTCACCTTTAGTGCTTCGGAAAACTGTGTACAAGTTTGCATGTTTGCTATGCTGGCTATAATATTGTCATCCTTAATGCTTATAATAATAAAAACTATGTAAACTACATATGTTTGCATATATTCTTAATTTAGCCTATACATTAAATGTGTGTATAGTACAACGATTAAGTTGAAAGAGCAGTAATCTATAGCAGTCAGATTTCACTTCACTATAATGATATCAATAAAAAGTTAGGCTAGTACGGGCTTTACTGTATGTAGGTTATTACTGTATACAACACTGCCTAAATAACAGAAGATACACATATATATACAGTATATATATATATACATATATACACACAGTAT